GAAGGGTCGTGAGACTGTACTTGGTAGACCTCTGGGGGGCCATCCGTGACGGCGCCACCGACGCCAGTGAGATCGTTGCTAGGAGCTCCAGGCTGCACCACAGAATCCTGGATCCCTGGCGCAGACGCGGTGGGACCTGCTGCGGCCTGCTCGGGACTCGGGGTGGCCTCAGAGCTCAGAAGGGGGGGCTCCAGAAGTGCCTCCGACACCGCTGGCTCCAGAGCCCACGCCGCCAGAGACAGAAGTCCCGTCACAGGCGCTAAATGTTTCCCCCATGAGCCCACGGGTCCTCCCCTTCGTCGCCCCAGGCCCCAAACGAAACATCTAACTCGGCATCTTGATTTAAAGGCTGGTTTACATCGCGTGAAACATGGTCTTGCCTTGGGGGTCGGGACTCTGGGGGTCCTCCTCAGGCTCGCCCAAGACATCCCCAAACAATATAATGGCCTCCTCTATGCAACGAGCCCGAGCGGTCTCCTGGGCCTCAAGACGCTGAGCTTTGGCCCTGGAGGACTTAGGACCAGACGATGGGGAGGGGGGAAGGGCGATGAGACTGTTGAAGCTTGGCTGGCAAATCCAAAGACCGTGTGAGGAGCTGTGTGGCTGCACCCCTGAAACGCATTAGCAGACCGCAATGCGTTTTCCACGGTTCATCTACACGAGCCACGACGGACAAGACATACGGTACAAAACTCGAGCTGGCCACTGCATAATCTATCCCCGAACCTTTGGCACCTGCCGCGCACGTCACCGCAACGTTCGAAGCCCTCAAGACATGCCCCTGGACCTTAAGCAAGAAAACCGCGCGTCTCTAGACTGGGTGCAGGCATATTCCAATCAGCAAAAACAGCCCAGGGCAACAGGAGGCTGGCCAGGAGGGCCCCGAGCCTACTAAACCTCTGTAGGTTCCCCCCAGACCGCTCTTCACTCGCGAAACCATAAAAACATACTGCAACGAAAGAGAAGCCTCTCATGTCTATCACGGAGGCTTGAAGCCCGTCAAGGGCGTTGTGGCCGTCAGCTCTCAGCGCGCGCCACGACTCTGCAAGGCTCCTCAAACTACGATGCCCTTGCGCCAGCAGCCACTCGCCCCCCTCGTTGGCCCTGTGGGCCTGGCTCGAGGAGATGCCGCCTCGCCCTGAGGGCCTGGCGGGGTTGGCCAGCAAGCGCAACTTTGCCTCCCTGGCCTTGCCGTCCCATTCGGCGAAGCCCGAAGCGTCCATGTATGTCTCGACCAGGCCCATGTAGTGGCACGGTTGCTCCACCACGAAATCCCAGGCCTGCTTGCCCATGCGCGTGATGCTGGCGAAAAAGAAGGTACTAACTGAATTGTCTGCATCACTGGCAACCCCATAGCTGCCTCTACTCGCCGTCCTCGACCTCCGCGGTGTACCAGTCGACGGACTCGGTGAGGGAGGGGAGGACGGCTGCTGTTCTCACTTCTGCTCAGACCCTGCGGCCGCCGCAGTCCCCTGCGCGGCCACCTTCTGCGCCTGCTTCGCTGCCTGGGCTGCCGCCAGCTTGACCGCGCTGATGCGGTCGGCTGCCTCCTGCACCCGCTGCGCCTCGGCGGTGGCTGCCTCGCCTGTGGCGGCGACTGCCGCCCCCGGCGCGGCGGGCGCCGGCGCGGCGGCCGCTGGGCCGCCGCTCGCGCCCGCAGCGCCTGGGGCCGCAGCCCCCTGGCTGCCTGGCGCGCCGCCGTCGCCCGCCGCCGTCGCCGTCCTGGCGCCTCTTCTTCCTGAGCCGCTCGTCGATCTTCTCCTTCAGCGCGGACATCTTCTCGTTCCACGCCTTGACCTCTGCTCGCTTCCCCTGCGTGAGTGCCTGCGCGCTGCGCAGCTCCTGCTCCAGCGACTTCAACGCCGCCCTGTCCGTCTCCTCGATGTCCAGCGAGTCGAGCGAGCCGAAGAAATCCTCGTCGATCTTCACCTCGAAGAGGACCTCCTTCACCTCGGTGGTGGCGCTCTCGCTGCTGGTGAGGCCCATCTCCATGGCCATGCCTTGCGCGGCCAGGCGCCTGGCTGCCTCGGCCTTGGCTAGAGCCAGGGCCATCTCGCGCTTTCTCTGCTGTGCTTTGTCGAGGTTGCCCTGCGCCGTGACCAAGGCGTTGATGGCGTGGTCGTACTTGAGCGACGCGTCACGCCAAACACCTGAAGTGTGCCTCAAAAAGTCCCCCTTGGACTGGAGAGGCTTGGCGTGGGACGCCTCTTGCTTGGCGATCTCGTCACTGAGCAAATTCCTCAACAAGGCATCCTCCGTCGACGCCAATGTACTCCTCATGAGCACCAGGCGGTCGGCTGGGCTCGACCCCGCGGCAGGTGCCGTCGTGTCGCTGCCCTTGCCGCTCCCGGCGGTCTTCCTCTGGTTGGACTGGAGAGCGTCTGCCGTGGCGGCCTTCTTCGGCTTGAACAGCTTGACCTGCGCTTTGGCGATCCTGAATCGTGCCAGAAAGCCATTCTTGGGACTTCAACGCCGCCAACCAACGTAACGGTTGCACCCGCAAAATCCCAAATTTTCCAACGCCGTTGTTTTTGTATTTTGATCCTGGGAGTCAGTGAAACCTGGCAAATTTCTATAAACGGATGCGCGCGGCGCCTAGGCGGGAACCACATGTTGGAAACGAGCCGCCCTCAATCCGTACAGCTCTTGTAGCTTTTTATTCCGAATGCGCGCGGCGCTAGTGCGAGAGCCACATTTTGAAAATGACCCGCCTTCAGTTTGGAAGCGCTTGTAAATGTTTAACACGAGCGCGCGCGGCGCTAAGGCGAGAGCCACATCATGCGACTGTCGCCTGCACTCAGTGAAACGCTTCGAAGTTCCTAACACGAATGCGTGCGGCGCTAAGGCGTGCACCACATTTTGGAAATCGTCCGCCCTAAATATGTTAAGCTGTTGCACGTTATAATGCGAACTTGCGCGGCGGCAAAGCGAGAGCCACATGTTGTAAACCACTCGCCCTCAATCCGCGAAGCTCCTGCCATTTCTGAAAACGAATGTGCGCGGTGCTGAGGCGAGAGCCGCATCTTGAAGACGACCCGCCTTTAATCCGTGAGTGGATTGCAAATGTTAAAAAAAGGGAAGTGCGCGGCGCGAAGGCGAGACCCACATTTTGAAAACCACCCATCCTTCATCCGTGAAACTGTTGCCAACGCAAGTTTCGTGATCATAAGTGGTGAGGAAAACTCAGGCGAAACGCCCCGCCCGCCATAAAAAAATACCCTGGGGTGCGACAGGGAGAAGTTATGTGTAAGGGGAAGGACTGAAGCAGGAGGAGGATGACAAGGGGGGAAACGGCCCGGAATTGTCCTCCGCAGCCAAGCAAAAGACAGGAGGAGGAGTAGGAGGAGGAGGAAGAGGAGGAGGAGGAGGAGGAGGAGGAGGGAGGAGAAGGAGGTGAAGGAGGAGGTGGAGGAAGAGGAGGACGAGGAGGGCGAGGAGGAGGAGGACGAGGAGGAGGGAGGAGGAGGAGGAGGAGGGAGAGGGAGCAGGAGGACGAGGAGGAGGAAGAGGAGGAGGAGGAGGAGGAGGCGGAGGAGGAGGAGGAGGAGGAAAAGGAGGAGGAGGAGGAGGAGGAGGAGGGTTGACGAGGAGGAGGAGGAGGCGGAGGATGAAGATGGGGGTGGGAAGGAGGAGGAGGAGCAGGAGGAGGAGGAAGAGGAGGAGGAGGAGGAGCAGGAGGAGGAGAACCAGTTTTACCCAAAAGTCTTGTCAACGATGTTGGTCTACACCCTCCCTCCAAGCTCCCTCTGCATCGGCCCTTACAATGGATAATATTCATTGAGGGAAGAGCCTGAAGCGTGCCAAAACACCATTTTCGGGACTCCACGCCGAGGATCAATATTCCGTTGCGTTTTGACGACTCGGAACCTTTCAAGAACACAGTTCTTGGGACTTCATCGCCGCGGAGTAAAGCAGCTGTTGCGCCGTCAATCTGGGGCCCTTCCAAAACACTATGTATGGCACGTTGGCCATGGGACCCCGTGGAACTGTTAGCAAGTAAAACGAATGCGCTCGGCGCTAAGGCGAGAGCTACATTTTGAAAACGACCCGCCCTCAATCCGTGAAGCCCTTGCAAAGAGTTAAACGAATGTGCGCGGTGCTAAGGCGAGAGCCACATCTTGAAAAGGACGCGCCCTCAATCCAGAAACTCTTCGAACTTAAAATGCGAATGTTCGCGGCGCCAAAGCGAGATCCACATTTTGAAAACGACTGGCCGTAACGAGTGTGCGCGGCGCTAAGGCGATTGCTACATTTTGAAGGCGTTCCTCCCTCACTCCGATAAGCTTTTGCATGTTGTTTAACGAATGTGTGCGCGGCGCTACGGCGAGAGCTACACATTGCAAACCATGAGCCACCTGTTGCCACCTTGAAGCTTCAGGGTCAGAAATGCTGAGGGAGTCTCTGGCGAAACGCCCGGTCCGCCCTTTCGACCGGCCTCGGGGTACGACAGGAAGGAGGTATTACATGGAAACATAATGGAGGAGGAGGAGGAGGAGCAGGAGGAGGAGGAGGAGCAGGAGGAAGAGGACGAGGAGGAGGGAGGAGGCCCGCATGGGAACCTTCCTCCGCAGCCAGGCAAGACACAACAGGAGGAGAGCGGAGGAGGAGGAGGAGGAGGCAGGAGGAGGAGGAGGAAGAGGAGGAGGAGGAGGGAAGAGGAGGGGGAGGAGGAGGTGGAGGAGGAGCAGGAGGAGAAGGAGGAGGAGGAGGAAGAGGAGGAGGATTATGATGATGATGATGATGATGAGGAGGAGGAGAAGGAGGAGAAGGAGGGAGAGGAGGAGGGAGGAGGAGGAGAAGGAGGGAGGAGGAGGAGGAGGAGGAGGAGGAGGAGGAGGAGGAGGAGGAAAGGGGGGAGGAGGAGGAGGAGGATGGAGGAGGAGGACGAGGAGAAGGAGGAGGAGGAGGAGGAGGAGGAGGAGGAGGAGTTTTCGCCCTTCCCCGACGCCCTCCGCTCGCCTTTCTCGGGGGCGCGCCCCTCCCAGCGGGCCGCGGCCGAGGGTGCGCGGCGTGAGCCTGAACGGCTCCAGCCCGCGGCGGCCCCGCGGCGGCGGCGGGGGGGCACCGGTGGTGGCGGCCCCGCCGGCGGGCTGGGCGCCGCGGCTGCGCGCCCCGAAGGACGCCCATCGGGGAACAACTGCAGACGCTTCGCGTAACCCCACCAGTTGTTCGGCAAGGTACTTGGGAATCGTTGGCCCATATCCCTTTCTCTCTCCTGGTCACCGCCGTCCTGGGTAAGTGTGGCGCTCGACTTCCACTCGCCTTGGTTACGTGGGCGGTCGCTCGCCCATTCTACACCGGCGTCCTCGCCGGCATCCTCGTGGACGTGCTCTCGGTGCTTGCGTGATGCCTCCCGCGCCATTTTGGCTGCGCCTCGCTCTGTTCCGTTCTGTGGCGGACGCTGTTCACTTCGCTGTTCATTTCTTCGCTACGGCGCGCCCCGCCCTAGCGCGTCTGGCGTTCGATCGAATTGGCTTTCCGCGCCCGCGTACCAAAAAAATAATCCCACCAGCCAGGGTTAGGTCGGGCATGTCCCCTCTACAGGCGGATTCGGGGCGACGCATAGCAAATTGGGAAAAATGCGCCCCACGGATCAAGAAACAATCGAACAAAAAGTTTCCCATGAGACTTTTTGACTATGTTTGAATATTCCTTTTGTTGAGGGACAGGCTCGACTTAAAGCCAGGGATCATTTCGACTCTTCCAATTCGGTTCGATTCGATTCCGATGGTTTCCGATTCCGATTCGATATGACTTGGGATTCCTCTGTGGGGCCCGATTTCTGAATGGAGGTATACTGGCCTGCCGATTCCGTCGATTTGGCTTTTCCTGACTCGGCTGCCGATTTCCGCCGACCCGGTTCATGTCGATCGCCAGTCCGACATATCGTTTCGATTTTGGGTTATCTTGACCAGCCCGTCCAGAGACAATGTCCAGGCGAGCTACCCGGATCAGGCACCAGGGGGAGCACGCATTATAATCGAAGAACGCTCATGGGGGACAATGTTTGTTGATCCGCTGGCGCAGAAGAAGTCGGGCGCCACTGGAGCCACGAGAGGGACGCTCCGGAACCGAACCTGGCATAGAGGAGCGGCGGACAGAAAGGAGGCAGGCGGAACGGGAAGAGCCGCGCTCAGAATATGTAGTCGTCCACGCGAGTGCCAGGGGTAGATGCACAACGGCGTGGAAGAGCACACCAGGGAACAAACAATAACATATATATATATATATATATATGTGTGTGTGTTCGGGGTTCGTGGGTCCAGCGCCGACTCTAGATATCCGCGCGGAACTCGAATAATTAATGTGGACGCCATGCTTCGTTCCTCTAATTCGCACTCCCCCTCCCTCCCCCTTGCGACTTGTTCGGTTTTCTCTCAGGCGACGATTCACTGCATGAGTTTGCCCGTCGCAGGTCGGTTCAAGTAGTGCGACAGGTCTGCCAGGAGACGCTTTGATTCTCACAGCGATCGAAGCCGAGTCACGAGTATCCCTGTTGTCACGCTCCCTCTTTCTCTTCCAAAAACAAACTCAGATGCACCCCCTTTTTTATGGACAAGGAAAGCGCGCCTCCACCCCCAACCTGGCCCTCCTCCCCTCTTTGGGGCTACGCCGCAGAGTCTCAAATCCCGATCGCGAGCATGTGTCGCAGAAGCGGCGCGACAGGTATACCCGTCAGAAAGAAACGGCCAGGTGGCGAGGGGGGGGGGTGCTCGTTCTGATTTCGACCGGAAAGGTCGCAGACCAAAGGCTGCACGAAGCAAAAGGATACGCGCCCGCCTTCGTTGTCCTTTGCGCGTCGATCGGCACGACGGAGGTCTGGCCCAGAAAGGTCACGATATGTGCCATCACTCCGCGATCCGTTGGCTACGTCTGTTCGAGCGGGGCTGGAGGGTTTCTCCGAAGGGTTTCGGCGACCCGTCTTCCTCCTCCTCCTACTCCTCCTCCTCCCCCTCCATCTCCTCCTCCCCCTCCCCCTCCTCCACCTCCTCCTCATCCTTCTCCTCCCCCTCTTCTTCTTCCTCCTCCTCCTCCTCCATTCCCTCCTCCCCCTCCTCCACCTCCTCCTCCTCCTCCTCCTCCTCCTCTTCCTCCTCTTCCTCCTCGTCCTCCTCCTCCTCCTCCTCCTCCTCCTCCTCCTCCTCCTCCTCGGGTCGCCTACGGCCTGGGGGGAAACCGTGCAAAAGGGGGCCCTCTTTCGGGAGCCTTCCGGGCCCACCCGCAGCCAGGCAGCGGCCGGTGCGGGCGTGTGGCTTCGCCGGCCGTCCGCGGGCGGTTTCTCTCCGCCGGCGCCGGGCCTCGTCCCCGCACATCAGGGGCAACGATGGGGGGATAGGCACAGGGGGGATACATCGGCCTCCTCCTCCTCCTCCTCTTCCTCCTCCCCTCCCAAGCGCCCATTGATCGCCGATAGGTGTCTGATAGCCCCAATTCGCCCAGGAAGGTTCGGATTCACTATCGGGGTCCTATCACCGATCTGTAGACGATGTATCGCCGATACCAGGTCGATGTATACCCCCCCTATGCCTATCCCCCCCCATCGTTGCTCCTCATGGGCGGCGCCGCCCGTAGGGCGGGGGGCGGTGTGGGTCAGAGGAGCAAGAGGTCGATGATTCTCAGGACGTGTGCTGGCCCAATGTGTTTTACCCCCTGCAGCCCAATCAGTGCGTGGGTCGTGTCGAAGGGTCTCGATTGACAAACACACGTTGGTGCTAACACACGTTCTGAGGTTCATCGAAGAGGTCATGATGTTTAATGATACGTTCCAAGATCTCCAGAGTTTCCAGGATTTCCAAGATGCCCTCGTGGTCCGCACGGTCTCCAGAGGCTGGGGCCGCTAGATACTCCTTGGAACTCATGCAGCGCATCCTGAGCCAATCTTATCATGACATAATGCTCGCCCTAGTGGGCGGAGAGAAATCGTTAGCCCACGGCAGGGCCAGGCAAAACCCGCCCGAGCACAGGCATACCTCGGAGAGGGGTCACCACGGTCCATCGTTTGGTCGTCGGTGCCAGCAGCTCAGTGACACCTGCGGCTTCGGGGCTTGGATGACCTTGGCTCTCGTGGTCCTTGGTCCTCGCTCCCTGGCCACGCCGTCATGCACGGAGTCTGCCATGCGATCGGTCTGAATATGTTTGCAGGGTGTACGTTCGATCCGCGGTTGCCGGTCACTTGGTGCACTTGCCATGCGGAACGTGTCGCTCCTTGGTATGTCCAACCTCCTTTGCTCAGGCGTGGTCGTCTGTGCACATCCATGTCCCTACGATTCCTCTCGTTCTAGGTCCGTCCCCTCCAATATCCTTCCATTCTCCTTACTTTCCACCTTTCCTCCTTCCCTTCCCATTCTCCTTCCTCTCCGCTTTCACGTTTAGACCTCGCGGGGCTGTCCTCGAATCGATCAAAGTCCTCCGCCTGTTCGATGCCGATGCGACTTTCAGTGTGATGCGCCATCGAGTTCCAACTTCAAAACACGCACACGTCGGTCGGTGAACAGACTATTGCGTCCTCTTGCTTCCAACGTTGAAGTATTAGGTCTTCAATCTTTTTGAATGGGCGGGCCGGATACCAATCCACTATAACAGCACATGACGCAGTCCGACATCCTGTCTTCCGGTCAGACGTGTAGCTCTCGGGAAGACGCAGCGGTGTGCGACCCGTGTTTGATCGCATATCGCGCAAGCGAGGCTCGACACGCAGAGCGTTCCGGCTTCCTTGGCGTGCGGCGGGCGAGATCCTCGCATCAATTCCGTCCTCGCCCCCTGCCAGCGCCCTCGCGCTCGCCCCGTCCTCGTCCTTCACGGCCCCGCCATCGCCGTCGTCCGTGTCCTCGTCGCCCTTCTCGTCGTCATCCTCGTTGCTGTCGCCCCCGCTCTCTCCGCCCCCGCTCTCTCCGCCCTCGTCGCCATCGTATCCGCCGCCGCCGTCGCCATCGCCGTCGCCGCTGTCGCCGCCGTCATCTTCTTCGTCGTCGTCGTCGTCGTCGTCGTCGTCTGCCTCGTCCCTGTCCTCCTTGCCATCCCCGTGCCTTCGCCCTTGTTCAAGGGAGGAAAATCCACCCGGACAGGACAAGTGGCGTTTGCTATAAGGCTCTGAGCGTTTCCTAAACAGCCCTCCCCCGTTCGATTCCTTCGGTGGGCGCGTTTACTAAACGGTTTCGCGTGTCGGGGTGGTTATTATCGTGGTGGATTTTTTGACCTCGAGGTGGGGAGAGAGGGGTCCCAGACCAGTTGCTTTTCCAGGCCAGGGCGACCCAGAGGCTCTGAGCCGCCGTCGGCTTCCAGCTCACTGCGATCGGAACTGCATTGAGATAGCGGAGACGAATACAGACCGCAGATCCAATCCGTTTTCAACGGCTCGGTGTCGGCGTCCCCCGCACGGCTGGCAGGAGGACGCGGCCGACGCGGCGCCGGCGCGCTTGGCGGCGCCGCTCCAGTGCCGCCCCAAGCTGATGGCCGTGAGCCTGCCGGCGCGGGGCTCGGCGGCCTGCGGCGCCCGGCCTGCTCCACAGGGCGAGCTCGGCTAGGCGCAAGAGTGACCTTTGTCAAGCAGTGACGAGGCGTCCTGGCGTGCCAACAGGCCTACCATCAAGTCGGGCGTGCCCTAAGATAGTCTGGGGACGATTGTTTTTATCATTGTTTGGCTATGTTTGGGTTGTTTGGGGGTATGTTTAATTCGTTCGCGCCAGGTCCGCCTGTAGGGGGACATGCCCGACCTAATCCTCGCCCGGACAGGACGAGCTCCGCGACGCCGAGAGCCCCGAATCATCATGGGTAATTCGGGTCAGGGCTAACTCGGGTTCCTTTTCCGGGAATCCGAACCCGAGTTACCCCGGAATTGAGTTACCTTGGATAACTCGGGCGCCCAATATGCGCAAGAGTGTTTTTTGTCAAGCAATGGCGAAGCGTCTTGGCACGCCTATAGGCCTACCAAACAATGTTCTAAGAACCTTCTGTGGTTTCCACGAAATGTTCTTTGAACATGTCTGGCTGGGGCCGTCTTGTTTTACCACGTCGGGTCTATCTTCTAAGAGCATTGCTTTTGTTAGTGGCACATATTTGGGTTCAAACAATATTTCGTGGTAGGCCTATAGGAATGCCGGGACGGTGGGTCCCTGCTCAATTTTGACCTCGGCATCGCTCGGACGTCTGCAATATTTTCTCGGCGAGGACCATCTCGGATCATCTATCGAAGACGCACACACGAAATCGAAACGTGCACGGGGAATCGGCGGCCGAACGGTTGCAAGGGGCCCGAGGGCCCTTCCGTGCGGTCCCGCAGGGGTTTTCTTGCATGGATTTGCGAGTTTGGATTTGGCTTTCCCGCGGCCCCCTTGAGCCGCGCACCAAAGGTCACTCTTGCCTAGGGCAACTTTTTCCCCACACGGCTTGCTGAAGGTGTGCTGCTGTGGTAGAAAGATGTGCTGCTGTGGTAGAAGCGGTAGTTCTGGCCGAGGGAGGTCAAAGGAGACATCAAACAAATCTGGTGGTTTGGGCCGTTTCGCCAGAGGCATCCTCACAACTTTCGTTCCTGAGTTGTCCGGGATTGGGCGTTTCATTTGAGACATCCTCCTGAATTTGAGGTTTGAGATGCCGCTTGCGAGGTGGTCCCGCCCGTTTCGCCTGAGATATCCTCGAAACTCTGAGCTCCATGATGCCTCGCGAGAAGAGGTTCTGCCCGTTCGCCAGAGTAATCCTCGCAACTCTTGGCTACGAGTTGCCTTTCGCGAGGTGATCTGGCCCCCACTCTCGCCTCCCAGCCAGGAGCTCTCGCTGGTTCCCCAAACAGCTCGCTTAAGGGGTGCTGCTGTGGTAGAAGCGCTAGTTCCAGCCGAGGGAGGTTTAGTCAGAGACGTCTTCAAAACATTTGGTGGTCTGGTCAGTTTCGCCTGAGACATCCTCACATTTCTCGTTTCTGAGTTGTTCGGGATTGGGCGTTTCGCCTGAGATTTCCTCCTACATCTGAGGTCTGAGATGCCGCTTGCGAGGAAGTCTGGTTCGTTTCATGTGAGACATCCTGAATGTTTTAGCTCCATGATGCATCGCGAGACGTGGTTCTGCCCGTTTCGTCTGAGACATCCTCGCAACTCTTGGCTCCGAGTTGCCTTTCTCGAGGTGATCTGGCCCCCAGTCTCGCCTCCCAGCCAGGAGCTCTCGCTGGTTCCCCAAACAGCTTGATGAAGGGGTGCTGTGGTGGTAGAAGCTAGTTCCAGCCAAGGGGAGGTTAAAGCAGAGACGTCCTCAAAACAATCTGGTGGTATGGGCCGTCTCGCCTGAGACATCCTCACATTTCTGGTTTCTGAGTTGTTCGGGATTGGGCGTTTCGCTTGAGACTTCCTCCTACATCTGAGGTCTGAGATGCCGCTTGCGAGGAAGTCTGGTTCGTTTCGTCTGAGACATCCTCGAAACTCTCAGCTTCGAGATTCCGCGCGAGAAGTGGTTCTGCCCGTTTCGCCTGAGACATCCTCGCAACTCTGGGCTCCGAGCTGCCGTTCGCGAGGTGGTCCGGTCGTTGTGGTAGAAGCTACTTCCGCCCAAGGCGCCGGTTCGGGGCCCATCGCCGGTCGCCGCGGCGCCGCCCCCACCTCACACCAGCGCAGCGACGATGACGGCGACGCCGACGACGACGACGACGCCGTCGATGACGAAGCGGCCCCGCTGGGCGCACGCGGGGCTGCCGCGCCTTCGGGAGGTGGCGGCGGCCAGGCGTCACGCCGCGAGGAGGAGGAGGAAGGAGGAGGAGGAGAAGGGAGAGGAGGAGGAGGAGGAGGAGGAGGAGGAGGAGGAGCAGGAGCAGGAGGAGGAGGCGGAGGAGGAGGAGTGGGGCACTCCTTGGGGCTACATGTAACTTTGCGTAACGGGGTGCAGCGACACGTACATAGCCAGAAACGTTATGATGGCGACAGTCGAGGCGTTCGCTGCCTGCAACCTAGCGTGGATGCGGCGAACATGATGTGGCCACTTGAACTTGACTACCATACACTTGAGAGTGCGATGTGTGCGATGTGTGTGTGTGTGTGTCCACTCTACTTGTACAGTGCCTTCGGTCTGTGTTGCCCCTGCGTTTTGGTTCGCACATCTGCTTACCAAGCGCAGCGTGGGTCAATACCCGTGTGAGTTGATGGATGACACGTCTTGGCGGATGCTCAGCGTTCACGGTGTGGGAGAGCCCACCATGCTTGTTATCTTCAATGTCATCATGAACTCCATCATCAACGAAGCGAGTCGGGAACGCCAGCGCCTATCCCACAAGGCCCGAGCACTGTAGTCAGTTTGCTTATGTAACGCTCCGCCGGGACACATCCAGTGTCCGTCGATGTGCCGAAGGGTGGCCCACACCCTTGGTAGGCAGAGCTACCGTACGACCGAAATAGACGTGCCAATGTTCATCCAGTAACCGTTCCCCCATGTCTTCCTACTCTGATCCATTTGCCCTCCTCCCGTTCGAGTTGTCCTGCTTTTCGGGACCCACTTTGCGCTCTGCGCAATAGAAGACTGACAATATTTGTACGATAGGGCCCGGCCCCTCATTACGGCCCGCACAAGAATAGGTGGCGAACCCCGCAAACGAGTTCGCACAACTTGTCCTCATAACGGTTCTCTCAGATTCTCGCTCTGCGGCTTCGATTTCAAAGGGCGCATCGGCGTCTTCAGTTGCCTTCATGATCATCATTATTATCCGCCCTCCGTCCTCAGTTCTTCTCACATTGAACCATGCCTGGGCCATCTCAGGCATGCACGTTTTGACGACCCCTTTGGCCTGTGCACCACCTCCAAGAGCCATTCCGTGACTCACGCATCCTGCCGTTGCACAGTCTTCGTCGTATCGAGAGTCTTTGGCTCGTTCTGCGTCAACGCAGTCGTCCCTGCTCCGCTCCTCCCTGGGCGACCAAGGAGCCGCTGGGGCCGAACCTGTTCATCCTCGGAGCAGCCCCGCCCTCGTGTGGGCCCCGGGGGGGAGAGGAGGGATGATAGGCGATTACGATTCGGGCGATCGCAAACATGGGCTAAGGGGGTGTGGATTAGCGACGGGTACCATTCCCATGGGGAATCGCGGATTTCCGCCGCCGCGCGAGGCGGCGCCGGCCGCATTCTGGGGAGGGCACCTCCTGTGATCCATGGATGAGGCGACCGCGCGCAAAATCCATGGATCGCTATTATATGTTTGCGCGCCCCCGAACAATGGTGTGTGGTTTGCGATCGGCGCCGCTGGGGCTTGGGGGCCACCACGTTGCGGCAAAGGTTTGATGAGCCTTCGTCGGGGCGCTTTTTAGATAGCTATCGAGGTCTTCGCTTGTTCCCCCCCCGCCCCAGCCGTGGTTTGCAAACCGCACCTTCTGCAAACCACACATTTCGGAGCCGCCGCGAGGAGGAGGCAAGGAATGTGAAGGCACACGGCGATCGGATGATGCCTTCGGCACATGCCGCCACCGTGCCGTGGATGTATGACAGAGGCCTCTTGGATGCGTTTGGGGATCTCTTAGGGGGCCTCTCGGAAGCTTATCGGCGGCGCTTTGGGGGCGTCTTTGGCGCATCTCTTTGGCGACGACGGTGATCGGGTCGGACCACCAACCGATCACCGTGGACCGCCAAGCGCCCCGATCACCGTTGACCACCAGAACCTCGGCGGCGAGCGAGGGGGGGAAGTCAGAAGGAGAAGGCCTTCTCAGAAGGCGGCGGGACTTCTCAGAAGGCCTCGGCCCTTTGAGAAGTTTTTCGTGTCTTCGGGGAAGGCTGAGAATTCTTCTCAGAAGGCCCAGGGACTTCCGAGCCCTGTGAGAAGGCCTCCTCCTTCTCACTTCCCCCGTCGCTTGCCGCCCAGAACCATCCCCGGGGGCCCTGATCACCGCAGAGCGCCAGCCAGTGCCCAGCAGGCTGCCAGAGCGGTTGCAGGGCTGGGCAGCTGCCGGGTGGGCGCGGAGGCCTGCATGCCCGGCTGGGCTTCGGCGGAAGCCCGCCCTCGGGTGTGGCCAGGACTCCAGGTAAGGAGACCCGGTCAGTGGTAGGGCCCGGGAGCCCCTGAGTTGGCCAGGATCACTAAACCAGGTCTGCCGTATAGCTGGTGTTTTTTCAGGTGACGGCAGTTCCGGTCAGTGGAACGGGGCGGGGGGGCGTCCCCCCAGTCCACATCACTAAACCAGGTCCCACCAAAACTAGTTCTGCCAACGCCCGACACCCCTGCACGCCGACTCGCCGCGAGGTTTCTCCCTCCTGCTCTTTCGTCGACCCTCTCGTCGTCGAGTACCAAGAGGGGAGAAGAAACCGATACTGGTACCCTTCCCTCGCTGCCACGGCCGGATTCGCCTCCAGATCCCGGTCACAACGCACCCCGTATCGGTATTGTCTTGTCTTTGCTGTCGAGGGCTTCCCCGCCGAACGGATCTCTCGCAGCGCACGCGAATTTTCGCCGTGGCGATTGTGCCTCTGCCAGGTGGCGGTGTGCGAGCGCCCCGTTTTCCCTCTGCGCCTGCCGCTGCTGCTCCTCCTCAGGCTCGTCGTCGTCGTCGTCGTCGTCGTCGTCGTCGTCGTCGTCGGTCGTCTGGCTCATATCCGCTCAGATCGGGTCCCCAGGGGGCCCATCCTGGTGAGCTGTTGTCCCAGCCGTGCCCGGCCGTCGCGACGAAGCGGCGTCGCCGTTCGCCTCCAGCGCGCCCAGGAGAGCCGGTGCTGCACCGCTACTACACCGTGTTCGACTCCGAGCGCGCGCCCCAGCGTCCTCAGGAGAGGAAAAAACACACAGACACAATTAATCCTCGATTCCCCAGAAAATATGGGAAACTATGGGAAGTGGGGGGGAAGACAGAAACCCAGAAAATATGGCAAAATATGGGGAATATTTTTATCTGTGTGTATTTATTTGTGTGTCCTGGGGCCCCTTCACGTCCGCCGTGGCCAGCGCGGGTCTGCAAACGGGAAGGTCGTCGTCGCAGGCCACTCTTCTTCCTGCCGCCTCCCGGTTGGCACGCCGCACGTGCTCCGTGACAGAGCCGTGCGGAGTTGTGCTGGGTTGTTGCAGAGTTGCAGAGTTGTGCCGAGCCCATGCAGAGCTCTGCAGAGAGCGCAGTGCTGTGGTGTGCTGAGCAGGCCGTCCCCTTGCCGTTGCAGAGCGGTGCTGGCGCCTCAGGCTCTCAGGTCTTCGCGCCGCATGTCGGGAGTTCTTTCGCAGTGACTCGTGGCAAAGGATGTTCTGGCCGAGCCCTTTCTGCTTCCCTAGGGACCCCTTTCGCTTGGGACCTTTCATGGCACACGGAGGGTCCAGAGGGAAAGGTGTCATGAGCACTTTGCAGGATGAAACGCTGGTCTCGGGGACGGCCCTGCCCCACGGGGTCCGGTACCCGTTTCCACCAGGGCATCAGGACCCCGTGCCAGGCAAGAGCAGGGTCTGTGAGGAGGAGCGGGGTCAAGGGAGGCAAAACCACCCGGACCCGACAATTGGCGTTTACTAAACGGCCTTGGGCGTTTACTAAAAGCAGCCCTGCCCTGTTTGATTCCTTTTTTGGGTGTGTTTACTAAACGGCTCCGCGTGTCGGGATGCTCATTATGGGGGTGGATTTTTTGACCTCCTAGGTGAGGAGAGAGGGAGCCCAGACCTGTGGCTTCTCGAGGCCATGGCGACCCAGAGGTTCTGTGTCGCCGTCGGCTTCCAGCTCACTGCGATCGGAACTGCATGGAGGTAGCGGCGACGAAGACCGTCCGCAGATCCAACCCGTTTTCAGCGGCGCGTTGTCGGTGTCGTTGCAGACGTTGACCATTTAAGACAACGTATTTGCCCAGCAGCTACCCTTGCCGTTTTGGACAACATTTGCTATTAAGTATCATGCCCACGTTGTTCCTCACCCACTCCCGGCGTGCTAATCAGGAAGAGGGGAGCACGAGGATGATGGCGCGGAGGGGAGAAGGGCAGGAAGAGGAGTAGAGGAGGATGGGGACACGGAGGATGAGGAGGAGGCCAACGCGGAAGGATATCGTGGATATGGCAGCACTGTAGCGGGAGGAGGGACGATGGGCGTTCAGGAAAACAACAATCACGGGGAGATCGAGCACAACGGGGAGAATGACGTGCAGGAGGAGAAGGAGGAAGAGGAGGAGGAGGAGGATTGGATTGGATTATATTGCATCACCTGAACGGATCCAGGGCCACCTTGTACGAGCCTCGACGAGGAGGAGGAAGAGGAGGAGTGGGAGAGGGAGGAGGAGGAAGAGGCGAAGGAGAAGGAGAGGGAGGCGTACTTTACGTTGGTGCTGTAATATGTAAGGTGGGCCTACCAGCCCGCTCCGCCACAGCGTCGTCGTCGCCGTCGGCGGCGTCGTCCTCATCGGCCTCCGTGCGCCCGCGCCGCGCTCCGCGGCCCCCGCCATGCGCCGCGCCCCCCCGCGCAGCCCGCCGCCTGATCCGGGATCCGCCCGCCGCGCCCCCGCGCCGGCGGCGCCGCATCCGCGCCCCCCGCGGCCACCAGCCGGCGAACGCCCACGCCCGCGCCCAGAGAGCTCCTGGCCCTTTCTCGTGGGGCGCTGCGCAATGATGGGGCGAGCAATGCGGGGGGGGGGGGGACACGGATGGTGCACGTTTCTCTCCCCCAATTTCTCACACCCCCATTGCATCCACGCCCGAGCTCGGGACGATCGTCTTCGGGACGATGGGAATTAGATGAGTTCCACCCAGAGTCGGCTTCCGTTCTCCTCGGACATCGATCTTGACGACGGTTAAACTTGCTACCGTAACCCAGTCGGCACCCCAATCGTCGTCATGTTGTCGAGGCTGTCGCCCACCGTCATTGGTACCCTGGCCCTCTTTGAATAGGACTTGCTTCTCGAATGCTGAATGCAGTTCAGCCCTGCGCCCCCCCCGCGCGCTGCGCGCGCTGCCTGGTAGCCGCCGCCGCAGCAGAGCGTCGGGCCCCCGAAGGACTCTAGTTTCCGGCCGTTCCTCAGAGCTGGGCCAAGCATCCTCTTCTTGGCGGTGGTGGGGGGGGGCGTCCTCTTCGTGGCCGGGGATCGCCGTGGTTAGGAGAGCCCCGTCGAGGAGGAGGCGAGGAGGAGCAGGAGCAGGAGGAAGAGCAGGGAGGAGGAGGAGGAGGAGGAGGCAAAACAGGATGATGATGATGATGATGATGATGATGATGATGATGATGATGATGATGATGATGATGATGATGATGATGATGATGATGATGTGATGATGATGATGATGATGATGATGATGATGATGATGATGATGATGATGATGATGATGATGATGATGATGATGATGATGATGATGATGATGATGATGATGAGATGATGATGATGATGATGATGATGATGATGATGATGATGATGATGATGATGATGATGATGATGATGATGATGATGCTGATGATGATGCTGATGATGATGACGCTGATGATGATGATGATGATGATGATGATGATGATGATGCTGATGATGATGATGCTGATGATGATGATGATGATGATGATGATGATGATGATGATGATGATGATGATGATGATGCTGATGTGATGATGATGATGATGATGCTGATGATGATGATGATGATGCTGATGATGATGATGATGATGATGATGATGATGATGATGATGATGCTGATGCTGATGCTGATGCTGATGCTGCTGATGCTGATGCTGATGCTGCTGATGCTGATGCTGATGATGATGATGATGATGATGAGGAGGAGGAGGAGGAGGAGGAGGAGGAGGAGGAGGAGGAGGAGCAAGAGGAGGACCAGGAGGAGGGGGAGAACGAGGAGGAGGAGGAGGAGGAGGAGGGAGGAAAAAGAGGAGGAGGAGGAGGTTGAGGGAGGAGGAGGGAGCAGGACGAGGAGGAGGAGGAGGAGGAGGAGGAGGAGGAGGAGGAGGAGGAGGGGCAGCGCCGTTGGGGGTCCGGCTTGGTGGGCAGCGGGCCGAGCTCGCCCAGCGCTGCCCGCACGAGAGGCCCTCCGCCCCACGGGTGTGCCGCGCGGCGGGCCGCCGCCCAGAGGCGGCCGCCCAGGTCCAGGACGGGAAAAAAAACACACACACAGACACGAATCGCCGCTTCCCCTGAAAACTTGGAGAATGTAGGAAGTGGGGGGGGGGAAGCCGAACATCCCAAACACACACACATACATACATACATATATATATATACACATTATATCTAATGTGTATATATATAAAAGATGGAGAATCCTTCCATAGCCATTTTGGCTCAAGGCCAAAGGGGTGCTCCATCCACTGCCTCAGCGGGGTAGGCTCCCATCCATCCAGAAGCCTCTTCAGAGTCTCGTTGCTTTCTTTGTGAAGACCTGGTTCGCCCCAGGCACTACAGATTCAAGTCCTGGTCCGCCCCAGGCTGTCTCATACCCCTGTCCTGACACGGCGTGGTCACCCCCAGTCCCTGGTCGTGGTGGAGGATTGTGTCCCAGACAGCGCCGCCTTCTCCTGGAGGTGCTCCTGCTGGCGCTGCTGCCCGTCATGCCGATATTGGGGGCGCTGGGAGCTCACACTGCGGGACTGAAGTCTGCACACCTTCCACCCCTCGAGCTGCTGCGGGATACCCTTCTCATCGCCGAGGCCCATGGCGAGACTTTGCGGGAGGCAAGTGACATCGCCCCGAAGGCACATCCCCTGACAGAGCAGCCAGTGCATCACTCACCTCGGCTGACTCCACCGCAGTCGACCCCATGGACGCCGTCAACGCTGCCATCAAGGCCTCGCAGGATTTCCTCACGGCGCAGCTGGACGCGAAGCTGGCGACGGTCAAGGCCGAAGTCATTGCGGAATCCGAGATGCAGCTCAAAGGTCCCTTCGGCGCCGTGGTCGGACAGCAGCAGCGACAGAACGAACAGTTCGCAGGCAACATCCAGGCTCTCCAGGCTACGACCGAACTTCACTGCAGAACAGTTCCAGTCCAGCGCCCAGCCCATCATTGACAAGTGCGAATTTGAAGATGCGGACTGGGAGGTTCTTGGCAAGAGTCCCTCTAGGCGCTTCCTCATACAGTTCAGTGGCGACGCCAACGCATCCGCTCGGAAGGTCCGACTCCTCTTTGGCAAGCTCAAGGGTTCTGACGGTGAGTGGCTCAACGCTGAAGCCCTCGACGTGCAGGGCAACCAGTCCAGACTCTTCGTCGGCCTCGACCGCTCAGGCAAGACCGCCCGCTGATAATTCCAAACAAAGAAGCTCACTCAGATCTGCAAGACCCAGGGCGACAACAAACGTTGGCGCGGTGACCGCCAGCAAGGCATCGTGCACTGCAACAACATGTCTGTCCTCTCCATCGTGGTGGGGACCACCAAGGACGAGGCCACGCGCCTGTTCTTCAACTGCGATGTCTGCCTCGAACATGGGATCAATCGCGAAGACGTCCGTCATGCATTCGAACAGTTCTTCCAGACCTCCGGCGGTGCGCAGAATGTGCCGCGGCGGATTTAAAGCGGCGCCGGCTCCCTGGCGAGGTGCGATGTCCTCTTCTTCCATTAATTTCTCTACCAGGCACGCTCGAGCTCCCCCCCGTCAGGGCCCGCTCAAGCGCAGACGCAATAAAAATATCATGAACGCTCAGCCGATGCCGCAGTGCACTATAGAGCACTCCATCTCCACCAAGTACATGGCCCTTCTCCTCAGCCGCACTGACACGGAGAACCGCGCAACTCAGCGGGGAAGGCCCCCATTCATCCAGCAGCCTTTGCAGAGCCCCGCTGCTTTCATTGTGAAGACCTGGTTCGCACCAGGCACTACATATTCAAGTCCCGGTCCGCCCGGGGGAGCCTCGCCACCCTGCTTCCAGGCGCGCGAGGTGTCGACGGATGCAAAGTACTGCGCTATGCCCGTGCAGCGGGACAGCCAATCCGAGGACTTCTCCCTGGTGCTATGCAACTACGGGGACGTGTTCCCATCGATGTACAGAGCCTGGCTGAACTCGGCGTTGGAGCTTGCGGGCTCCCCCCTCGTCATCCGCAACGTGGTGGAGCTGATGCACCCTTGGCCCGTTGCATGCGCCGACCTTGGCGGCGCCCTGGTGGCCTACCGTGCCCTGGGCTCTGGCATCCTTCCAGTCTGCCCTTGGTCTGGCATGTCCTGGGCGACTGGCCAGGGCCCGATGATCAGTGACATGCATGAGTGGCCCCCGCGCGTGTTAGGCAAGGTGATTGGCGGCCGCGCAGGCGTCGTGCACTGCGTGATACCTGTCCTCTACGCGGTGGAAAGATTGGAGCGACTGGCACAGACGGCGGCGAAGTGCAAGATCACTTGTCTTGCGGAGGCTCTCTCTCTGTGGCTCGCGTGGAGGTTTCGCGGGAAGCTGGCGGGCTTTGTCTCGGGATGGCAGGACATGACGATCGCGGACATGGCGGAGTACCCCGTCTTTCTGGTGGGCCTGCGCGTGGACGACATGCTGCGCTGGCAGAGGATGATCTTGGGCTGGCAGTCTGTGTCCAACCTGTTCGAGGGCGCTGGCGCGCCCGCGAGCACTTCCATAATACCCGGGCAAGTCCTCATGGCTAAGTCGTCTGAGTCAGCTGTTCCTCTGGCCATCCAAGAGTGTGCGCAATGAAGACTGTGTCCTCCACTGTGTTTGGCACCTACTACCTCATGTTCTACCACGTGACGACCTACTGGCGGTCGAGTTCTGCCCCCCCGCCTTGATGTTGGGATGTTGGTCAACCTCGAGATGGGCAACTGCGCCGCCCTGCTCCGCGGCGCCTCTGGTCGGTCCCGAACTGGCCGCGCTGGGGGAAGACACCGAGGGGTGCGGCTGAGACGGCTCGCAGCTTCCGTGCACGCTCGAGCGGCCACGGCCTCTACACCCCGCTCCAATGGATATCCAGTGAGGGTGCCCACAGGCTTGAGGACGCGGCGCAAGGCTTCAATAACGACTGGCGCAAGACCATGGCCACCGTTGGTGGCCCCGCGTCGAGTCAATTGGCAGCGGAGAAGACTCGCTGGCCCCCTGATCGCCACCAGACCAGCCTTTGCTTGCTGAGGTTTGTTCGCCCGTATTTCCTTCCCTCCCTCCTTTGCGATCGTCTCTCTTCGACTTCCCTTGTTCACCTCCTCTATTCATGGACGTTCTCGCCCGAAAATTACGCATGTCGTCCGATCCTTTGGGGGCCGCTCAAAGAGCTTCTTTCGCATGCGTTTCCCGCTGGTGCTCACTCTGTCCGAATTGAGTCCTGGACGGGTGGGTGGCTCAAGTGCGGTTGCCTGCGCACTTCCGTGGGTGGGTGTGATACCCAATGCTTCTTCGGCTGCGGCCGCTCAGAGACCCCGTGCGCCCATGTCGCTATCTTTCATTATGTACACTGCTCTCTCTCTCTCTCTTTCTCTTTCTCGTTCTCTCTCTCGTTTTCTTTCTCTCTCTCTCTCGTTCTCTCTCTCTCTCTCGCTCTTTTTCTCTCTCTCTCTCTCTCTCTTGGAGCGCCATCTGCAGCGCAAGCATTCCACACCTTTTTGACATTGATTTGTTGTCTGCGCGCCCCGGCCCAAGTTACCAGTGCGTAGGCATTCATTCACAGCGCCTGGCTTTGGAGCGCACGACAGTCCCTTCTTCATGTGTACAACAACCACAGGAAGGCGGAACCACTTCAGCGGTTCCAGTCTGAAGCAGCCTGGGAGAGCACCAGTCCTTCGTGGGCGATGCCCCTAGCGACATACCAGCCCGCTGGGCATTGAGTGTTTGACGTTGAACCTCGCTGAACCACGAGGGATATACATGGAGAATCCTGGGATCTGTGTCTATTTATGTGTGTCCCTGGGCCCCCATCACAAGTCCAACGCCTGCGTGGACACCCATCTGCGCGCCGCGCGTGGCCTACAGCGCTGAGAGGCGGCCTCGTGTCTCGCCCAGCACAGCCGAGGCGGTGGCGGTGCCAGCGACGCACGAGCTTGAGCCAAGGCAGTACTTTAAGCCAAAAAGGCTACGGGCGAGAGGAGGAGGAGGAGGAGGAGGAGAAAGGGTGGGAGGAGGAGGAGGAGGAGGAGGAGGAGGAAAAGGAGGAGGAGGAGGAGGAGGAGGAGGAGGAGGAGAGGGATGGGGGACAGCGAGGCCGAGGAGGAGGAGGAGGAGAAGGAGGCGGGCCTCGAGGGGGAGTGCGGTAATGATGATGGCGATGATGCTGGTGATGCTGATGTTGATGGTGATGGCGATAGCGACGGTGATGATGATGATGATGATGATGATGATGATGATGATGATGATGCTGACGATGGTGGTGGTGATGATGCTGATGTTGTTGACGATGATGATTATGGTGATGACGGTGATGATGATCATGATGTTGTTGATGATGATGGTAATGATGATGTCGATGATGATGATGATGCTGATGACGGTGATGATGATGAGGGTGATGATGATGACGGTGATGTTGCTGATGATATTGATGCTGATGTTGCTGATGCTGAGGATGCTGCTCATGATGAGGATGCGGATGAGGATGAGGATGAGGATGCTGCTGTTGATGATGATGGTGATGAGGAGGAGGAGGAGGATGATGAGGATGATGAGGATGTTGCTGATGTTTCTGTTGATGATGAGGATGATAGTGGTGAGGAGGAGGGGGATGACGAGAAGGAAGAGGAAGAGGAGGAATAGGAGGCGGAGGAGGAGGATGAGGAGGAGGAGGAGGAGGAGGAGGAGGAGGAGGAGGAGGAGAGGGAGGAACAGGGGGAGTGGGATGATGATGATGATTGTGAGGTTGAGAAGGGGGAGGATGAGGATGAGGAGGAGGAGGAGGAGGAGGAGGAGGAGGAGGAGGATGAGGCGGAGTAGGAGGAGGAGGAGGGGAGGAGGGCGGAGGAGCAGGAGGGGTGAAGAGGATAAGGGGGATGAGGAGGAGGAGGAGGAGGAGGAGGACGAGGCGGGGCAGGACGGGAGAGCAGGGACGAGGTGGTGGATGACGAGGAGGAGGAGGAGGAAGATACCGAGGAGCCTCCCACCTCGGGGCAGGCGACCTGTCAACGCGCCGCCCCCACTGAACCCCTCCCATCGGCTGACCCCCAGCCTGAAAACCCTAGAAGGCCTCTCTCCTCCTCTTCCCCTCGCTCCTCCGTTTCCTCATCCCTCCGTACCCTTCCTCTATCTACATTTAAATCAGGCTTGCCCCTCTACAGGAGGAAAAGTTAAACATAGTTTTAAATCATCGACTGGGGACGATTTTTGGAGTATGTTTGTACATGGTTTAAGTTTGTGTTGTAGTTTTTATTGTTTGACAAATCCGCCCGTAGGGGGACATGCCCGACCTAAATTTACCTCCTCCTCCGCGACGACGCTGAGGCACCCGCAGATCGGGTTCGGTCTGGCGGCCAACCGCCAGAACGCCGCCTCTGCGCCCGCGGCCAAGGCAGTACCCCCCCCCACCGCGCGGGCTCTCGCGAGGAGGGGCGAGGGAGGGTCCTCTCCTTCCTGTAAATACAAATCACACTATCCCTCCCACCAGTACTTGATGCAAGCGCAAAGCAGAAAAGATAAGATCTGTTTATCTCCGTACTCAAAGCAGTCGTGAGTAGGTGTGTCCCGTCTCCCGCCCAGCTTATGAACTACAACGGCCATGGGCGGAAGGGAAAGATCATTCATTAGAACCCTAAATATCACATCCTCGCCTATCTGATTTTCACACTGGAAAAAGAAGCTGTTGCTAAAGAGTGCGTAGCAAATTCTGAAGCAAGCCTCCATAATATTCATGATTATACTTCCCAGCTCGACTGGCCAAAAGCCGCCCGCACACCGGACACCCATTATCAAGATATCACATTCAAATCTTGAACACATACCAAGATATCCAAACAAATCTTCAGCAACATAAAGCAAGATACCAACTCAGATCTTGGTGCAAACATCATCCAGTCACTTGAGAGTGTGCACTCATCATCTCTTTACGTGAGAGGGTGCACACACAATCTCCTTATTCAACCAACACAAACACAAAGTTGACAGCGAATCTCCGTATAATTTCCCCACCGCCCAACGTCAACACAAAGTTGGTAGTCAAATTTCAGTACAATCTCTCCACCATCCAACATCAACACAAAGTTGGTAGTGAAATCTCCGCGTCCCTGAGCTGACTATGGTGGTGTAGGCGGTGTAAGTATTTACGCCCGGATCCAGATTGTAGCTCTTGCTCTCGTTTGCGTCCAGCCTCACACACCGGACCAGGCAGTTGGCGTAGTGCAGGCCCTTGCTGTATATGTCTGCGAAGTTGCTGCCCTCGTATTTGCCACTGTTGATGCGCATCGGTCCCAATGTAGCCAACCATTGCCTCAGGAGAGCACTGTCCCCAAGGTAAATTTGTCCATCCTCCGTGATCGTCCACCTCAGGCTCAGCTTTCGGCGTAGCGTAGTTGTCGTTAATGTTGCCTGCTTGGGCACCTCCGCCCTGAACATGTTGTCGCTGCTTGAACTGTCCACCTCCATTGGTGCCATACCGAAGTTCTCGTCGTCACTCTGCTTAGGCTTTATTGTGTAGATACACATGGTAACTCCCGCAATGGTAGAGCCGAACTTCACCACCGTAGGAGACATCGAAAGGCAAACTCCATACACTGGCGAGTGCACAGAAGTGAAGCAGAACTGTAACTTGTTCAGGTATCTGGATGGTTCGCTGCGCGCCACTCCTGTACATTGGGTAGTTGCCCGTCGCATCTTTCATGTAGAATGTTTCGACACACTCGGTCTCGTCATAATTCTCATCTGTGTCATCGGAGAGGCACTCGTCTACATAGTTGTACGTCTCGACCGGCCAGGTAGATATCTCATCGTACCCATCTGTGTCGTCGTACAGCTCCTGTTTGACGTACTTGGCCATTTTCGCGTTCAAGTCGTCGACCTCCTTGTGGGTTGCCACCTTATTTGGTCCATCTTGCTTCCGTCCGCGCCTCGATGGTGCTCTGTCATCAGGCCCAAGAGTCCACAATTTAGATATCACGATCTTCCTCGCGTAGCCTCGTGGAAACACTTTCGTCGAACAGTCCGCTAGCATCTGCTCGCTCTTGACCCACTTGATGCTGACCTTCTTTAGTGACTGACGTAGTATAGCTGCCTCCAGAGACAGCCTCCGATCTGTCACGGATACCCTCTCCTTCGCGATCGCGTCATACAGGCTCATGCAGTCGGTCACCGAAATGCAGGTCACCGGGCAGGTGTCATGCGCGATCTCGACCGCATCCATATCTGGGCCCAGGATATCCGTTAAGGTTGACCTTGTCTAAAAAGAAAAGTCTCCACCGAATCTGCACATGAGCACGCCTCCGCCGATAGTGTAGATCGCACCACTCGTTGAATCTTGCAGACCGCCACCCAATGCAAGGTAATCTGTACTTGTTGCCGTGGTCCTCATTGATCTTCTCGTCACCTAGCATGATGCAACGTCCTCGTTGCGATCTGTGCTTCGGCAGGGTGTCGCAAGCACTGTCGGTCACGTTGATCACTATGGTCTTCCACAGGTTCAGGCCAGCTGTGAACTTGATCAGTAGGTCGTCCCGCTTCTGGATTCTCCTGATCGCTGCACTCCCGTCTTGTAGGTCCTTCGCCGTCGGAGCTCCCAGCGCCGATGCCAATCGGGATGCCTCGAACGCTTCTTCGAAGCAAAGCACTCGCGCAGCCCACTGCAGTTGTCCCGCCTCCATTCGTAATCCCCGATGCTCCGCAGGGGTCAGTGCTGTATCAGGTGCTTTGTTGCACTCCCTGGGGACACGCGAAGTCAGCATTGATTTCGCATAGGCCTCTATGGTGACTTTGATGCTGCCGTCCTTGTCCTGCTGATAGGCCCCGCCACAGAACGTCGCCTTCTCCTGCGTCGCGTACTTGACCACGCCGAAGCCAATTTCCTAGTGAAAGTCCTGCGTGATCTTGGCGTCGTCAGGGTCGCCCTGCTTGATGCCCATGGAGAAGTCGTCCACGTGTAGACACATGATCTTGCTGATCGCGTTTTCTTTGTTGCGCTTTATGAAGGTCGTGGGCTCGAAGATCAGGCCTTCCCATCCGAGCTTCACGAGCGTCTCGCGCAGCGCCGCGCACCCAGCTTACGCCGCATTTTGGCGCCGTAGATGCTCTTGTCAAGCTTCAGCAGGTCGCCTGCCTCAACTGCTGGGATGTTGCACTTTCCAGGGTTCGCCGGGATCCGAAAGGAGCTCGCTTGTGATCGCCTTGCTATGTAGAAAGGCTCCCTTCACGTCTGCAACGACTAGGTCCAAGTTGAGGCTGAATACGATGGTGCACAGAAGTAGCGTCATCTGCGCTGAGACTTAGTAGAGAGTCTGCGCAGCTTGTCGTCGAACTCATCGTAGCCTCGCCCACATATTCTTGCCTTCGGCTCAAAGGTCGCAGGGCCCCTGTCCGCCCAGACCACCGTGGAGCTTAGGATCTTGTCTGGATCTATCTTCTCAGCCGCTGCTCCTGATACATGAGTTGCTGCGTCGTCAATGCACCAGGTATTCCACTCCTTCTCCACTGCACTCTGGATATTCTGCCACTTGAGCTTGTCATCGTCCAGCGCCTTCAGGTTGATCTTCTGATGCTTGTTAGCCCTTGTCGGTTGGGTGCGCATCCGCTCGGCCAAGAATGCTTCGACCAGGAGTGGTATCTCCGCCAGCTGCTTGACAGGCCCCGTTTGCCTCTTCGCGCGCTGGGTGCTGATGGGCGCGTCACACAAAGGACTTCCTGAAGCGTCGCGGGATGTTCCTGGCGCGTGCTGCCCTGATGCTGACCCGGCTGTCTTGTGCTCGATATTGTTGTCCGTCGTGGTTATTCCGTGGCTGGTGTCGGCGCTGCTGCCGTCTCCTCTGCTTCCGTGCGTTCTTCCATTTGCTTCTGGATACTGGCAGGTACTTGAAGTCCAGCTCGGTCGTCGTGAGCCATGCCCTTCTTGGTCTGCTTGAGCTTCAGGTCCTTCGTGACCGAATGCTTCTTACCACCGCGTTTCACATCCTTCGGCTGCTCCGGCCCCGCGATGATCTCGTCAGCGTTGCCGCCGCTTGGAGGTCCAGGCTGTGAGGCTGCAGGCTGTTGGTCACCTCCCGGTCCATCTTCAGTTCCATCTTTCATCATCGGTGCGATCTCTTCGATGGCCGTGATCGGCTGCTGCGCCACCGCATCGTCGATGATCTGAGGGTTAGCTACCCAGTCCAATCTCGAGATGTCCTGTACCAGGTTGCGCGTGTCCAGATTGAAGAGCCGCCTCCTCTCGATCTGATACCCTGGTGCCGGTTCGGGTAGTAGAGGTGTATTACTGATGTTGTCCAGCTGCCTCAGGTCGGTCTTACCCTTGCAGCTGGTTGCCACTGCTCCCAGGATGGTGTCCCAGGCTTGGCGTGCTCGACGTAGTCGCGCTCGTAAATCCTCCTCTGCTTCGTCATGATCAAATGGCGCTGGTTTGTCCTCATCGTCCAGCCTCTGCCGCGCCGGCATCGCGTCATTGTCGCGCACCGCATCCGATCGTCCCTTTCTGCTGTCCGACTGCTTTGGGTGACCCGCGCCACCCTGGGCTGGTGCTGCTCCTGGTGCGTCTGTTTGTCCTTGCACTGGCTGCTGTTGTGGCGCTTTCTGCTGTCCAGGTAGCTGCTGGTGATAGTCGTGGTGTCGTACTGCAGGCGGTTGATCTCGATGTTGGTCTGGCTGTCGATCAGGTGGTTGATCTGGCTGCAGAGCATCTCGTGCTGGATTACCTTGTTCCCCATCGAATGTCTATAAAGCCTCTCTGTCCAGCTCGAGATCGGACCGGCCCACCGTCTGGGCACAGGTAGTTGAACTGCGGGGTCGTCACACCGCGCTCAGTCGCTTCCCGTAGTAAACTTGGCGAGCTTTCAATCGGGATCCGCTTGTGAATCGGCAGGTAGCCGCGCAGGTCCATGCCATTGAGCACGTAGGTTTCCCGTTAGATTGTCCGATCGCCAGAACATCAGTAGATCACCTTGCTGGAAGGGCCCTGGCTGGGGCCCGGTCATTGCCAGCACTGTCCGCCTCAGAGCAGATGAGTTAGCTGCCTTGACAAAGGGCTCCGAGCAGATCTGCTGAAGGTGTAGTCGATCCCAGAACGATGTCCTTTCAGCTGCCCTGGAAAACAATCTGTTGGGCCGTTGTCGGGGTTCGCCAAACTCGCATGTAGTCGCTGTCCAGCTCCCAGTGCCGACTGCTGTGGTGAAAAGCCCGCTGTGCTAACCAGCTGGTTGCGCGCGTTGGCCATGCCTCGCACTGCAGGTGCAACTGAATCCTGACCACGCCTTTCTCAAGCATCGAGCACACTCGTCGCCATCTCCTTTGGGTAACGCATCTTCCTCTCGACCATGCCCATTTGCCAGTGAGCTTCTGGCGCAGCGTGTTTGATCACCAGGCCGAGGTCGCTGCGCA